TCAAACATGTTATAGCAAATCTGGTAAAAGCTCATTGACACTTGTAAAGTTCACGTGTTAAAAAAATAAATTCTAAATGCTTGCTATATGTATTTGTGGAAATGGGTGTGTTGGTTTTTGAGCCTCACAGTGATAGAAAATACATTTCACTCACAAAGGGCTAAAGAAATCCAGTATCACCTTGGACTGTGTGAGATGTTATGAAGCAGAATAAGCACAGATTGCAGTTGTTAAAAGTCCTTACTAAGGCAGTGTTACTAGTGAACAAGGTGATAGTTTTGTCACCTTGTTCAATGTTCACTAGTAACACAAGGTGCTGGCGCCATTATTTGTTGACTTCCATGTGCTGACATTTTTTAACAGGGTCTCCTGCTCCTTTCTTTTTGCCAATTTGGTCAATTATTTCTTTACTTTCAGTCCTTTTCACTTCTACCCTTTTCGCCACACATTTTACGCTTATTTCCAGAAACATTTAAAATGACAACCTTTAGAACCGCCAATTGTATATGCTAGTAGCTTGGATCTTGGTCTCATTGTTGTTGAGTGTGGTCTGCCTGTAGCACACATCACTCAGCGTGCAACCCGCTGACCAACAGGTGTTGATTTCAGGGTACTAGAGAAATATATTTGAAAAATATGTATTCTTTTCACGAGAAAACAACTTTAGAGTAGTGATGCCTCCAGCTGAACACTGACCGGCCTAATTCCTCGTGGTGTGAGTGAGTGAGTGTTTTGACTTCACTCTCTGCCGTGAGTCCACTTTGAGATGAACCTCTCTGCACCCTGTGGACAGGACCCAGCAAACAAATAAGATTTTGAATTGTTTTCAGGGCCCGGAACATCAGCCTTTGCTGGGGGGGGGGGCCATGCTGGGTGGTCAGTGCATGTGACCTTCTCATAGCGGGGCTACCTAACCCCCATCCATCCCTATTAGAGGAGACTTATCAGGGACAGCAGCCAGAGTGACACAGTCCCAGCTGGCCTTCCCTGGAGAAAATGCTGTGCAGTGCAGGGAAAAAGATCCCTATGGTGCACTGAGGTGTGTGTGTGTGTGTGTGTGTGTGTGTGTGTGTGTGTGTGTGTGTGTGTGTGTGTGTGTGTGTGTGTGTGTGTGTGTGTGTGTGTGTGTGTGTGTGTGTGGATGGGTGTGTGTTTTTGAGTATGGGTGTGTGTGGAGTTGTTCTCTGCAGATAGGACCCTGTGACTCTGAGATATGCACAGGCTCATTAATTAGAGGCTCTCATTATCCCCCCTCAGGCTCCAGACACTTAATCAACACCAAGCTCCAACTAAGACACACGCATGCATGTACACACACGCACACGCACACACAACCCCATGCACACCCATCTCACATGATCCACAGCAGGCAAAATTCTGACACAACATCATCCAAGAATAGAGCACTGTAAAAGAGGTGAATGATTGAATGATGATGAGGGTTATTTGTTTTCGGTGATGTACGGCACAACAGAGTGGGTGGGTGTCACTGCTGTTTAACACTTTTATTATTATAATGCTGTTAAGCATTTCAGAACAGATTCATCCGTCTGCCATGTGTGACAGTGGAAGCAATCTGTCAAACACTGTAAATGATATTCTCCTGTTATAAATGTTCGTGCAGGGAATATGATGAATTCCTTTCCAAAGGCTCTTGCCTTCATGAATCGGCCATTTCAGTGATGATTTCTGTAATATTTTTCTATATTCTTAAATGTATTCTTTAGTATTCTTTATACTGATGCTATCTTCTATACAAGCATGAAAAACTGAGACCTTGTAAAAGAATGTGCAGTATTGTAGGAGTACGTATTGTTAGAACTGTTTGCATATTGCATGTTTGTGCATGTGACATTAGGGTACATATCTCTGTGCTCTTAGTATGCCATGTATTGCCTTGAAATTCCATCCTTGTAATTAAAAGGCCATTGTTTATTTGAGTGTGGGACAGTGACACTCCAGACTGACTTAAGAGCGAGTGTCTGTGTGAAAATATATTACCCTCAGACATTCTGAAGAGCTTTTGGAGTGTTGCTCCTCAGTGGGGTTTTCAAAGACCTTTCTGACAGTTATTTGTACTTTTTACACCAAGTAGAATTATTGATAAACAGACGGATACATGACGGCTCATGTTTAGCTGTGTTAAAAACTACATTAAGCACAGCAGATGTGATGTTAAGACGTACAACTTCACTGGTTCTACAGAGCTCTCTGATTTCTGATGATCTTAACTGGAACTGATTTCTTATATGTAGGCAGATTAAGAGTCTTTTAACTGAAAATGTGGCTTACTGAGCAGCAACTGAAAGGTACTAATTGTTAATTCCAGCAGAAAATATTTGCCTTGTGGAAAAAAATAAAAGCTTCAAGGACATTTTATTAGACACATTTTGTGAATCAATGGCAAATACTGTAGTAGCGTTCCTAAAGGGTTAGTTTTACACTGAAAAAAAATCCAATTACTTTTGAATTCATATAAATTGCTAACAAACCGCAGAATAAGCCATGTTTTTCTCTTCTTGTAAGACAGTTGACAGTGACATTGGAGACAGAGCTCTTAGTTCTGGGTGATTCACTTTTTACATTAAACACGAGTCAGTCTTTATTTTTTCAGATTCAGACGACACTTTATCATGCTAACCCATCTTTATGAAACCAGCCCACGATCACAACATACAGTGGAGAGATTTTTGAGGGCATGATTGGCAAGAACAAGAAAAGGAAGCGCAAACTTTTAAACAGCTCCAAGTTGTGGAAAATGAAAGAGGGGGTTTTTGTTTCCCTCTGAAGGCTGGAGTCTGATTTCCTGTGCGGCTCTGATTGGGAAAGCAGAGGCACGCACAGGGAGCCTGCTTCTGTATGGGGATGCCAGATGACAGGCTTCACTACGAACAGACTGTTGCTGAACAGCACACTGAACTGGCCTTTGATCACTCATCAGACATGGCTTTTATGAAACAATCGCTTGTGTAAACCTGTTTTAGATGGTGGGACTTCAATGTCTTTGAGTGAGCATGTGTTTGAAAGAGAACATAAATGTAAATAGTAGTCTTAGGATACAGGAGTCCGTCACTAGCTGACCATAGGAATATAAGTTATGTTTTGTAATCTATTGTCAAAATATAGATGCAAACAATGAAACTCTGTGACTACAAACGTGTGCTTTGATCACACAAAGTGTCTTTCTGCCTGAGTGCCGGCTGTGAACTAAGTTTCCAGCATTTTGCACACAGCAGGAGTTTGTCCATAAGGCCATATGCCAGCTTGCCCCCCTCCTCCTTCTTGTCTTTTGTTATCTGAATGACCCTAAGGTGCACGACCGACCCAGCTGCCCCTGAAGAGACACCCGCTTATTGACCAACTCTCAGCTCCATAGAGTCCATTACCTAAACCAATTTAAATCAGACACATTTCACCTCGCTTCAATATTGACCATTTCTTTGACTTTCCTTTTCACCTCAAGATAATACCTGATGAATAGAAACAAATGTACTAACTGGTTTAATGCTGTCTCATATCCAGTGATGAATGCATTTTGGTTTTGTGTTGCAGCAGCTGTGTTCAGCCCCAGAAGATTTGTTGTAACTGTTGATAGCTGTTTTCATTCAGTGACTGTGGCAGTGATCGCGGTGCGAGGTTTCTATACCAGAACAACCATGGCCTATGCTTTCAATTTTATCCAGCCCACTTCAACATTTAATGATTAAAAAGTCAGTTTTTTAAACCTGGAAAAGCTCTGACCAAATAATGCCAAACACAAATCTTTGGCAATGTTATGCGTCTGATGGCCGTGTGCAGTAAAATATTGCACAGTTTATGATATGTGACAGCTGCTCTCAGAAGGAGGAAGTAGGCAAAGCGTGCACAAACAGGGCTTGATTTGTCTCCAGCGTCCAAGGCTCTCCATCCTTTGTGAATCATGTGAAAGAATTCAATGTGCTATTCACATACAAATATTCAAGGATGATAGCCTATACCAATGTGCTATCAAGGCACGAATCACTGGAGTGATGTTTTGTGAATCTCCTCAGCTCATTATCACCAGTTTGAGTTTATTATTGCAGGTTTTATTTTCAGACACACTTTCCAATTTAATGGACTGTATGAAGCTCTTTAGTGATTCCGATCCTGAGTGCTAAACTACGGGAGCAACGGGCTGAATTTAACATCGTAAGAAGCCTCCTGCGCTCTGCTAATATGAAACATGGACTGGTCTAGCAGCTCAACTACTGATTATGTTTACCCACGGCTTTGCCAAGGCAGAAGAGGCAATGGACTTTTACCCAATACAAATCAAACCAACACTCTTTAGTGATTCTTTAAGAGATATAGGGGGACATTACATTGCAAAATCGTAATACCTAAAGGGATGTTAATGTGAAAGGTTAGAATGTGACTGAGATAACAAAAGGATTCGTGATAATTCAACAATTTTTCTGTGACGATTTCCCATAGGTCCTGCTAGTCTATCCCGGCAAACAAATTTAAAAACGAATTTGATATGTTTTTATCATTATTATAAATTCCTCCATGTTGTGAACCCTATCGCATATATATATCAAAATTGTTGCGATGAGTTATTTTTCAAATCGTGCAGACCTAGGCCTTACAGTATGGAAAACACAATTATGTTGGAAATATATGTAAAGTATACTGACAACTTTTACTTTGTACCCACAAATAGTTTTGACGTTCCTCCGCAAATCCCCAAACCATAGCACAGTATCCTGTTTATTCAGCATGATGGACTGGCACAGCAGGGTGGCACGTGGCTACAGAGACCGTTCAGAGGTTCATTTCCTGGAAATGTGTCCTTGAGCAACACACCAAAACCACAGCTTGCTTTCTGTCTGGAGGGCAGCGTCAGTGTGGTGCGTAAATGTGAAGCGCACTCTTCGGCCGGCGGCGCTATGACCCAGCTGCTGCAGCCTGCCCAGCTCCACCGCTCCAAGTCTGCAAAGCTGGAAGAACGCATGGAAGGAAGTCATCTGAGAGCTGTAGTCCAGTTTGTTGCTGTTGCTGGAATCAGGATATCCTTCCAGCTCCTCGCTGAAATTCCAGGGATTTTTTTTTTTGCTGGTTGTACACCCTCCTCCCCCCTGAAAGTAATCTCCCCGCTTGTCGCTCTGTCTCCGCCGGCCTCTCTTGGACTGTTTATCCACAAATACTTCCAAAAGTGTGTTTCGACCACTGAAAAACGGGATTTGACAACTGTGATTATTTTTTCTGCATTTCCGCACACATTCCGTCTTTCGGTCATTTCCTATGGATCGAAGAGAACAGATTGGACATAGTCTACCCATGTTGCGCTGGACTAATGGTGTTGCCTACATACACGGAGGACTTCGGTTCGAAAAAGTTTAGGAATTAATTTTTCCTAAAACACACTCCAGATTGGTGCTGGATAGGCCGACTCTGCGTGAGGAGGGAGTGGGTTAGTAACGGACTCGTACTTTGGATTTACGCACAGGAACATTTCCCTCAAACACTGTCGGTCGACACCATGTGTCTCTGATTTATTCTCCGATCTCAACTGTGGATTTAACCGGTGTCTGATTTGTGTTGACTGGACTGTCTCAACTGAAAAACTGCCGCAAAGCTGATACTCGCACATCATCATGCATCGCTTCTTGGAGAAAATCTGCTGCAAAACTGAGGGAAGTCGAGAGGCAGCATGACTTGCGCTCTGGATTTCTTTGAATCTACATTCCATTATCCTATAATATCTTAATGCTGTTCAATTTTGGTTTACAAATATGATGAAATGGCAGCCCCGGAAGAAGGTGAGTCTGGCTGTTATTTTTCTTCCAATTATGGCGATAAATAACGTTTCTGTGTTAGAGCACAAGTTGAAAAGACGTGGCTCAGTCACAGACTGCTGCTCTTTCTATTCGCTTACTACAAATGATGCCTATAGATAGCACTAAGCAGCTTAGCAGTATGCTGTAGGCTTCTGTACTGATCATTTAACAAATACTACTTAGAATGATGAGCAAGTTTTTATAGCATTCATTTGAAGATCTTTCTCCTATTAATACATTTTCCCCTCTACCTTTAAAATATTGTAAGAGAGGCACTTATCAGCTGTTGTTCACTGCACTAAATACAACCTATACTGTTCATCCATAGTGCTAATCCGGGGTATGACATGTATTGCTATGTTAATGTTTTATACTCTGACCTGTGTTTTGTATGTTCTGCACCTCTTAACAACATCATAAAGGCTATCATTGTTATCTGGACTAATCAAGAAATCAGTGATTCATATATCCTGTAGTGAATATTTTGAGTTGTGGGCACAACAAGTGTTGAAACCTGGGTTAAAACAAACTTATGACAATTATCCATATTCTGTATATATATAGAAAGTGAAAAATTGCATCTTACTAATATTTGCACCTTAAACTTTCAGAATGAACTGGCACCCCCCTCCTTTGATACCTATATATTTTAGAGGACTGTAAGAGAACTAAAACATGTTCCTTGCTTTCTTTTTTCTACGAGTACGCACATATTCTTCAACACATTTGTATTCATCATGCATTCTTATTGCCCCATTTTCGTAGCCTTGGAGTATTACAACATGGAAAATGTCTGAAAATCATCTGGGGTCTATAAAAAATGGAATGAAATGCCTATGGTTTAGATTTTTACCAGCAGGGGGCACTTGTCTGACAAGAAGCAGCTTTCCTTTGCAGAAGTGGGCTTTACACTGGTCTAAAGTGAAAGATTAAAGGATGGGCTCTATCACATCATCCTAATCTTTATTTTCCCCAAAAGACTTTGAACAACAGCAGCATAAACGTTTGCACAATTGTTTTCTGTGTGGCCCAGATTTTTCTGCCTTGTCAGCTGAGACATGATGATGTTGTGTCTGTAACTACCCAGTATAAATAGCACTGGTTACACATACAAGAAGTAGCGTAACCACTACTACTGGCACTGTTTTGTAGCTGAAACCCACTTCATTGTGTGTGATCTAAGTGATCTTGCAATCTCTCTGCCTAAATTAATTTTGGTTTGTCGTTTGTTCCACATCAAATGTCATTAATGAGGATAATCTCACCCTGAAAGATGAGATGAAAGTAAATAATCAAAACCAAGCTTCTTAATGTTGAATTATCATCAGAAAAAGCTGTGAGCATGCCCAAATGATTTCTACAGCTGTGCAGTGTATCTGCCAAAATCATCCCTGAGACCCCCTTTGAGGACTAAAAGCCTTTTCCCACTGCGGGAATTGATTCCCCGCCACACTGTAGTCATATGAGCTCAAGCTTGAAACACATCATAAAAGTAACACTGTCCTTCATGTGCATACTCTCTTTTCATCACAGACCTGGTAAGGGTCTGCAAAGGGTGAGCAAACAAGTGTACCAAATCTGATGACTATCATCAAGGAGGGGATAGTTACTGCATTTTTTGTGATGTTGATTAATTAACCTGTTGGTCATGTTGCATGCAAGATGCATACATATGATCACAAGCAAGAAACACACTCACAGGGCAGGGAACAATAATTTAGATTACTTGCGATCCACATAGTGTGTATGTGTTTGTGTGTCCTTCTGTATGATGTTGTCTATTCACCCTGGCCTTATGCCAATCATGTCTCCTGACTAAGATATTGAACAAAGAAGGTAGGACGCTGGAATACAAACAGCTTTTGTGCTTCGCATAGTAAAGAAATTGATTTCTGTGTAAAGCAGTTCTCTCTTCTAAAAGTGCACACACAATGATGTCACAAAAGATCCTTCAATTTCCCAATCCTGCTTCTTGTTTATCCACTTTTCAATCTGTCTCTTTACTCCACTTGTAGTACGATGGGAATCAATAGAAAGTGTAGGAGAATCAAATTGATTCGGGCTGAGTGTCCTGTCCACCTCTTTATAATGGATTATACTAATGAGTCAAAATTACAAATCTGTTGAAGAGAAAGGAGAGCCATTCCCTTAATGTCGCGGGTAGATTGCTTATCTGTTTTGGAAAAAGGAAAGGAGTAAAATCTCTATCACTGGGGATTTGTACGATTCACTTTTTTTTAATTATGTTTGATGTAGTTGCTCTGAGCACCAGAACCAATTCAGAGAGAGTGTCTATTACACAGCGTTTAAATGTGATAGGGGAATCATGATATGACTCAAGGCTGCCATATGTTTTTGATAGAGGTTAGATACCCCTATCTGTATGGCCAGTGACAACCAATGCTTTAGAGGAGATCACCCTTTTAGAAGGCTAAGTGCGACAAAGCCCTTTTCCCTTTAAAGTACAGAGCCACTGATGTTTTGTGTTTGTGAGGCTGAGGAATGCTAACATTAGACTCATGCTGTGCCTAGTAGCATATGTGGGGAAGGGTGGGTGTACAGCGGCGGCCACTGCAGTCGTCTGTGGTCAGGTTGTATTAGAGGAAGGTAAGCATTAAAAAATGTGGACAGCACCTGTCCTGAGGGGAAGCTAACTCGTTGAGTCAGGTAAGAGATGAGCCTAAAGTGCACTGAGAGAAATGAAAGCCACCAGGTTGCATTCAGAGAATGAAGAACCTGTGGGATTGTGGGTTTTTAGGACATTGGATTGCTTTCCTATATTTGTGTATGTGTGCACACAAGCACATGACATGAATTATGGACTCCAGTGGTTTGGAAAGTTTCTATGTGAATGATATCTGCCTGTATCAGAAGGGTTTGACTCTGAGTTCAACTGTGATTTTTCTTTGTCCAAGGTTTTTTTTTATGTAACAGCATTTTTCTATTTCTAAATCATCTTTAGCCCATGTTTTCAGAACTGCTCACAACCTGTTAATTTGTTGGGTGGTCTCGTATTACGAAGCCATGGCTCTGCATTTGGAGTTCACATTATGCCCTGTGGCAGTGTGACCAAGTCCAAAGGAAGCCACTGTTTGTTTTTGTGGTTGTGCCAGATGTTTCTGTGGGTTACACACAGTTGACGAGGCCTTCTCACCTGAGAGGGCAGGACGCCCTGCTCATGTTTCTGTGGCCTGGCTCACGGGGAGACAGAACCTTTACCATCAGTGGGCGCACTCTTACATCTCTGACCATGTTCATTGGCTTTTCACTTCGGGGAGTGTCTCATGCTGCTTTTCCTCTTTGATTTGGTATTATTTATGAGCTCTCCTTAGGGGGGGGAAAGGGCTATCTCTGCCTCCAGTGCTCGGTTTGTCCCCGTGACGTCTCCTGGCTAGCAGCAGCCCAGCAGTTATGGAATACATTTACAACAGGGGAAAACCCATCAGAATGTGAAGAGAAGCGCTGCAAGACACATCTGAGCAGAGAAGAAAGCGGGTTAGGCTGTCAGTGGGAGAAGAATTCACTTGGGAGAAGAGAGTGCTGGACATAGATTGAGATACATCAGGGAACAAATGAAGACTAGATTGTAGGAAATTGGATATTGAGCAGAATAATTGCTGTAGATCTGTAGACATTGACAGGATCTGAGATGGTTGGAATTCAAGAAAGTGGGAGAAAATGGGAAAGGGTTGGAGGCTGGAGAATAAGATGGTGCAGGAGATCCGGAGTTTAGGAGTGAGAGACCCTAGAGTGATGCAGCGGAGATAATTAATGATAGGGAGTGATGGCACCTGCTGTTCCTGATGCTGCGCAGTATTTATGGCCCAGCATGCCGAGTGGAACGGGATGCGGCTGCGTGGCCAGCCCCCTGGCTCGTCCTCATGGGGCCTGAAAGGAAAGGTGTGGGGGCTGGGTCAGGTAGGAGGGTGTTACGAGGGGAACAGCAACTTAGCAATTCAGCTGAAATGTATGTGCTGTACTCGCTCTGTTAATCCCGGACCACCGCCTCCCAGTGGGAGAGCTGGACAGAGATGGAGGACAGGATAAAGAGCAAGGCCTTCCTACGTCTTATCGTGACGCAGTTGTCTGCGGTACTCACACGCTGAATGCAGGCTATATGCCCGGTAATGCCCTCTAGGGAGTCCACTGTCAAAACACAACAGGAGCAACAATTGAAACAATGCTGACTGGGCCATCCTGCTCCCATTAATCCTCATTCCTGGGACCTGCAAATTCCTCTGAGTGTAGAGATAGATTTTTGGCTAGAAACTGGTAAATGCTAAGATTGATTTATGTGTAGAGCGATTCATTTGTAATGTTTTCCTCCAAGCCTCAGAGCACTCATTTCTGATTTGCTACAGCTTTCCTTTACCCTCCAGTGGTTTTGTTTGAGCAAATGGAGCAATGTTTGAGTTTATTGAGGTCATTGTTCCAGGGGTGTGGTCAGCTGCTCGCAGGGCTCAGGAGGTGCCTGACTCTGGGTGCCTCCACCGGGGAATAAAGCGGACCTGACTTGATGGACCACATCAATAGGAACACATTTCCTTGTTCTTTCAGGTGGAACAGGCCTTTGCAGGACTTAAACTCTATTATTTTCATTCTTTTCATTGGTTAAGCTTCCGTATTATGTACTCAGTCTTGCATATACTGAAAGCCAGGGTTTCAGACATAAGCTGGCTAAAACATGTTTTGAATAAGGGCTGTCAGTGGCACAAAAGACACATCCCCTCAGCGTATGGCCTTAAAAAACATGCACACTTTTCTCTTTTTCACAACATTTATCAGAGTACAGCTGCCAACACCGCAGTCACAACATTCCTTAACTCCACACTGGACTGGTTCCAGTGGGCCGGGCATCGTATCAGCTCAGGCTTCTGGCCTCGCAGCTGTCTCCATCCAACTCAGTGCTGTGTGTACTGACAGAAATTAGCTGCTAGTGTGTTCCAAAGAGGGCCTGTGATCCAGTCTGGATGGAGACGTGT